TATTCATAAATATTTGTGCTAAGTTGTCTTAGGGGTATTCAAGGTGGTGATGAATTTTTGATGGGTGGATTGAAGATAGCAACCCAACATGATGCAGTGCATATCAAACATAAATAAACTGCAGAGCAGACATTTCCTGTCTCATTCAAGGACTATTGGTTAGCATGCTAGTTTTGCTTGCTTGCTGGCTATTAACCTGTATAAATATGCTAACTAAACAACCATGAATATGAGAGCATATACCTAGTAGCCATGATAACCACCAATAAGATCCAATGTAAGCGTCAAGAATAATCACTTGGCAGCACTATTTGCATAACTCTTTGCTTAAGGCATTGCCCATAATGATATCATTGTTGCTTCAGTCTGCTGCTAGTGGAAACATTCAAACAACGGTTAAACCTATCATTGTTGATTTCTTTACTTTTTTTATTCTTTGGTAAATTTTCTAACTTACATGTTGGGGTTTTCTAGGTTCGTTATTTGAAGATTATTGAGAAAAGTGGTTACCAGGCTCTTCCATGGGTACGGTACATTACAATGGCTGGCGAGTATGAACTAAGACTTATTTGATAGCCATTCTTTGAAGTTGACATTTCCAATTCACTGAATTTTCCATGAGTTTGAATGACTGGGGACATAAGTATACAAGGAAACCAGTTGATAAACAAAGCCCTGTGCAAAGTATGCAAGAGTGGTTTGTCCTGAACAATCTTTTCTGCTTCATATTATACTGACTGTGCATTATAATTGTTTTATCTAATAGGTTTATAAGAGTTTATGATCACCAAGAATATTTTTCCCTTATCAAACTACAAATTGAATACCATGAATTCTTTTCGACTTTTTGTGAATGATTTGTTGGTTGAATGTGTCAGCCCAGGGTGCTCCGAAATTTCCTGATGGTTAGTTAATCTGGTTCTGCCCATTGACCGCTATTGTTTGCGCCACTGCCCTTTATTTGCCTGGTAGTGTGTAATTTTTATTGTCAAGTAGGAATATGCTCGTGCTTTGCGGCGAGGATATTTTTTTTTTTTTAATTTTGTTATTAGTAGTTAATAATGCTTATAAAGATTAAAACTTAAAAAGGAAAAAAAGAAAGGTCCAAGGAAATAAAAAAAAAGAAAAAAAAATTGAGTCAAATAAGGATGTCACGGGACTTGTCTCTTTACTTTCAAATTTATCTAATTAAAATGAAAAAAGTAAGTGTTGAAAAAAAAAACCAAGTTTGAAATTCAAAAAATCAGTCATGATTATTCAAAATACATATTAGTTGATAAGAAATGAATTCAAAATGTAGTTAGTAATACAAAAAAACTATAATCTCCAAAAAAATGATAATTCCAAAATTCATATGTATCAATCAGCTTGAACATTAAGATGTAATTGTATAAATGTAGTAATTTTATTAAGTTGATTTCTTAAATTAAAGTATTAAATAATAATTTTATTAATATATATATAATTATAAAATTAAATAAATAATAAAAAATATATTTTTATATATATACTCTGAAGTGGGTTAGGGTCAAGCATGCTAAATTTGTTTTCAACCTAACTTCGTTTCTTTTAAAAAAAAAAATCAATCAGCTTCAAATCTATTCTCATTTTTGTAAAAAACATTTCATATTTGATTTAAGTGGATCAAAATTCGTTATATACGAATTATTTTATTTTTCATATTTATCAGTTTTTTTTTTTTTTTATAAAATTTATCTAACTAAAAAAATAGTTAAAGAAAGAAAAAGTGAAATAGAGTGCTATGTAAACACCTTTGTTGACCTCCTTTCTTACAAAATTTATGTAATTAATAAAAACCCTAAAACAAAAGGAAGACAGCAAAAAAAAAAAAAAATGAAAAAGAAAAAGAAACGAACGTGAGTTAACACGTGATATTAAGAATGATGAGCTATTCTTGTAAAATTTATATTATGGATATTATTTTTGAATATAAATTATATTTTAATTATACATAAATGTAATATTTTGATTACATTTAGATATTAAATAATAATTTTATTATATAAAATATATAAATAAAAATTAAATAAATAAAAAATATTTTTATATATTCTGAGGAAGATCGGGATAAAACATTTTAAACTTATCTCTAATCTAATTCAATTTCAAAAAAAAAAAAATTATTTCAATTCTGACTCAATCTTGATTTTCAAAACAAAAAATCACTCAAATTGGATTGAGTGTCGAATCCTGTCAAATAAAATTTTTTTTGTCATCTCTAACTTTAGTGACCAATTTTATTATAATATTTATCTAATTAAAAAAATAAAACTAAAAAATAAATTAAAGAAAGGAAAAAAAAGAAAGTAAATGTGAAGTGTTATGGGGACACCTCTATTCACCATTGATCTTTTCAAACATATTTTTTAAAAATACTAAAATACACAATAAAAAACAATAAAAAAAAGTTAAAACTAAAAACAAAAAAGTAGAAAGAGAAAGGGGTAAAAGAAAAAATGAAAGGAAATAAAAGGAAATTAAATAAAGGGGTTATGTGAGCGCCTCTACTTAAAAAGATGACAATGGACTGGATGCGGATGTGCTTAAACTCCTTCCGACACCGTCTTGACTATTTAATAATTTTACACCAACTTCGGGTTTTACTTGACATCAGATTACAATTTTTTATACACAACTTTGACTTGAAACATATATGTACAACACGCATTCGATACAATTTAACTGGAAATTAGTTCAATAATTTTAATTTAACATAATATTTATAAAACATTAATTTTTATATAAATTATATTTAATTATATATAATTGTAGTATTTTTTAAATTAATGCATTAAATAATAAATTTATTAATATAATATATAAATATAAATATAAATAAATAATAAATATATATATCTTGAGATAGAATACATTAAACTTGCCTTTTGACCTTACCGTGATTTCCAAAAAACTACCTTGCTCTAACCAAATTTCAATTAAAAAAATTGTCTCTATTGTATTAGGACGAGTTGAAATTTATTGAAAATAAATTTTTTGTTATTTCTACCTCTATTTATTTTTTTTATGAAATTTATCTATTTAAAAAAAAAAAACCAAACAGGGTTGCAAAGTGGATACCACATTGGCCTCATTTCCTTACAAAATTTAATATGTAAATTTTTAAAAAATAAAAATAAAAAATATAGGTTGAAAAGAAAAAGAAAACATGAAATTGAGATGTTATGTTGATATTTTCATTAATATCTTTTTTTTTTATAAAGTTATTTTAAAAAAGAAAGAACAAAAAATATTTTTTTAATCACTAATATCAAATGAGTCCATATTATTTTAAAAAAATTATTTATTAAATATAGAAAAAAAAGAAAAATATAAAAATATAAAAAAGAAAAGAAAAAAGAGAAAGGGCAAAAGGTGACATGTAATAAGTTATATGGAGAGTTAATACGACTAAAATTAATAATGTGGATGGATGGATATTTAGAGGTGCAAGGTAGACCTAAGATAACTAGTAAATATATAATAATAAGGGGGAAAGAGGGGGGGGGGGTATGGCGGGGTTGCGAAACTTGAAAGTGGAAGTAAATAATAATAACTTTAAAGCGAAAGGAATCGATTGGCTGAAGAAAAGAAAAAATGCGAAAGGATTCGAAGGTGAGGTTACAATTAGAATTCCAATTAGTACGATTTGAATCTTCACGCTCGCCGCATCAGGACTTCTACCCTGTAGGCCGAAGTTAGATGGAAACCAGATAAAGCTAATAAACATGAAACTATAAATTAATTAATGTCTTACAATCTTTCCGACTAAAACAAAATAATGTCTTTGAACATCATGATATTGATAGCTGGTTATTTGCATCCATTATGGAGATGGCGGGCATTGTCCCGTTGTCTCTGGAAGCAATGAAACATATTAAGATATCGTAATAACAAATTTGTCCCCTCATTGGGACCATTTTTCCCCCACCTCTCCTTCAAGACCTTCGTCTTCTTCTTTTTTTTTTTTTTTGGATAATTACAACAACACTATGCATAAAACCTGCATCTTGTGCCTCTACGGATCTTCCTTTTTAACTTACCTTAAAACTGAACCTTCAAATTTTCCTGGAATTGACATCCAACTGTACAGGTGGAAAGCACATTGGTAAAGAAATTTGAGGCTGCTTCCAAATTTCAAATTGATGGAGGGAGTGATCAGATTAAATTTGGAGCAATTCCACCCTAATCTCAGTCTCTAAAATTGTCACTGCTCCCTTTGCATTAAGACCTCTAAAATTGCCCCATTGCAGTGATGAAGGCTTTCAAACCATTTCAAAGCACAACAATTCCTAGGACCTTCTTAGGGAAAATAGTTGACTTGACTTGCCTTTTCTGTTTATAAGGCTATGGTAAGCTCTTTTATGAATAATTTATAGAGTTTATATTTATACACTATCAATGTATAAATTTTATATATCATCAGTAAATAAGATGATACTTACTTATTAATGAACACATATCAGCTTTCAAAATAAATAAACAAAAATTAATATTTTTTTAAAAAATTTACTTATTAATGAGGTGACATAATCTGATTCACTTCATTAATAAGATGTATTATCTTATTTACTAACAGTATATAAAATATATACACTGATAATACATCAAATATAAATCTTAATTTGTATTGTAACTTTGTTTTATTTATCTAGTTGTGAGTTTTTCCTCAAAAGCTTAATTTGAGATGAGTATGTAAACTGTCAGAATAGGTTGACTTTAATTACAGCACGAACAATTTTATCAATTCATCTATACCATTGAAGTACTATCACTGAAATATTTTGTAACAAATTAACATTATTATTATAATTAAACAAGCAACATACATTTGAAACTATCATAGGTATAGAATCAACTGCTTAAACCATAAGTCCTAATTATTTTCCACCCTACTTATGCATTCTACTTTCCTAGCCAGTAAAGTCTAAATGTTCTAACTTCCAAGTTCCATCTACATTCCGATAATCAAAGGCTTTTGCTTTTCAGCCCTTCACGATTAATCTTTCCATTGGTGGTCCTTGGATTGCTGATAACCTCTCCAAGAAAAGGTTAAACTCCTCATCAGGACTCAGCATGCTAATCCTTGTATACTTTGATCCAACACCAAAATTCGTCCCGCACCTTGTGACTAATTTATGCTCTCTTAAGAGATTGTCACAGTTCACGCCGTCCTTGCTCTTCAGCCATGCAAAGGCTGTATGAGAAAAAAGAAACCAAATTCAAGGTTCATCGAATGGAGTTAGTATAATCAAAATGATGCAATTAACTTTTATATATGTTGCATTTACCAGGGTTCGAATCAGTGTATTTGCCAATGAAGTTGCAGTAATCTTGCGGGTACTTTGGCAGACTGAAAACTCCATTGCGTTTAACCACTTCCCGCAGCTTTTCCCACCTTTCAGACATGAGGCGCTGTCCATATTCAAAGAAGTTTTCTTCTCTGTTAGGACCAGAATTCTGGCAGTCGTCGCTGATCACTCCTAGAATCTTGGCAGCCCGGAGCTGGGATTCTTTGGATACCCCAATGCTGCTCAGCTCTATGAACTTAACCATCTTGGTGGTGATTTCTTTATCCTTAACGATAGCCCAGCTGCAGTATTATAAATTAAATGATCAAAATATTTCGAATAAATACTCCAAATTAAAGATTTTTCTAGATTATATATTTCATGGCGGAAGATTCTTACCCAATGCGAGAACCAGCATGTCCTGTGGCTTTGGAGAGGGTGAAAAGCATAACATCATAATCAGCCCTACTAGTAATGGGCGTGTATTGAGGCCAATAATAGGCTAGGTCGTGAATAAGTTTACCACCTTCACGATTCACTACAGCTTCTCGAATTGCACCATCAGGGTTGTTGGGTGAAGTGACCACTTCTATGTAAGGTCCATCTTTATCAAAGGAGTATGCATCACCTGCCCATTTGTACAGCCCTGAACACAGGAATTCAGTCTCCTCTGGATATGACTGCAATCAAGGTAAATTTTAGTAAATAGAGGTTCGAAAACAAGAGGAAAAGGACATAGTTTTGGCAGCACCAAGTTAAATTTCATGCGTGGATGATAATCTTTTCAAGAAATTAGAGACATAAGGCACGTGAGAATGTGCAAAGAGAGCATTTTAATGATCATTTACACTATTATTTTATTAGTATAAGAGAACTCGATGGTCTCTTGAAAACGTGAGTAACATGCTAAATGTCTGGCTTTTGTATCTAAAAAGCTGCTCAAAATGATCCTCCACAAACAACTATGATGGGGTCCAATCACTGAAAAATCCTGGTGCCTGCTAATTTCTATTTAATACATGCTGGTTAAACTTAGCCCATGAATGTCCTTTTTTCATACACATTGAGGAGAAAATGCCTGAAGTGACTCTTTCACCAAGTTTGGAACCAGACCGTAGAAATCTGGGGTTGACCCACCACATGCTTCGAAAACTAGACATGCCCATGTTACCATGATCGCCCTAAGATCCAAAAAAATGCTACGTGCATATGTTTGATAGTTGTTTCTAAATCCTAAGTGTTTAAGAAAACATGTCTGTCCCTTTGTCCCATTCTTTTTCTCAGTAATTTTTCTATTCCCTCTGGCAACCCCTATTGCAACGTTTCCCAATGTCATTGAAAAATGGAACCAATTGCTTTGATGGAAGAAGTTTTTATTGCAGAGAATTAAACATTAAGGAAAAGCCCACAAGGAGCAAACCATGGCCTAATATACATCCAACAGGAGATGTGGAAACATTGATTTGACTTAACTGAGGAATAGTAAAAGAAAAGAAGTCAAATCTCTGAAGTCAACCAAAATCAACGGTTGTAATTGCATCAATTAGAGGCTTACCGAGTAGAAAGGGACAGCAGCTACCACACTAATGGGCTCAGGCTCATTAGGAGAAGAAAGGGCATAGAGCAAAGCCTGGAAGAGCTGAGTTGAGCCATTCCCAACCACGATGAATCTATCATCATCAGCGATGGCATTCCCAACCACGCGGTGCAATCTCCGAATGGCATGATCAAGCTCTGGCATCAAAAACCAGCATACTTTTTCGGCGTCGCTGAAGTAGCTCATCAAATCATTGCCAGAAATCACCACAGTACACCTTTCTCCCAACCTCTTCCAGTAGGACTCATACATCGTAGGATCACCACTGTTGAAAAATTCCATTAATCATATCAAATTATCAATCACTTTGACAGGCAATAAACATAAAGCCAGCCAAAACCCAAAACATTCCTTGCATTAGATGCATCAAAGTAGAATTTATAAGCCAACAAAATTGGAGTGTAGAATTAGTGTTAGTATTATGAAACAGTGGAATATTAATGTAACAGTGACACCTCAACGAGGGGAAAAAAGAGAAGGAAATTAATAAAAAAGGCATGCATTTGCCAAAGAAATTAATACAGGCAATGGACTAACCGAGCAAAGTTGATGACAGAGTCCGAGGAAAGAGTCTTCTTGGCAGAGGACGGGACGGATTTGGTTGCGGAAACTGACTTCTCAAAGCCGACCACCATCCTGGCTTCTCTAAAAGTGATTGTAAAATTACTTTTATGCAAGTAAATATTGTTTAGGGTAGTGGAATGAGGAAATGGGAATGTATGTATATATAGGGAAGGAAATGAGGGAGCCGGGTGGGAGGGTGCATGAACCCTTTCTCGTTTAATTTTGGTTTTCACAAATCTGTCTGATTCTCGTTTTAAGAGAATAAAACAAAAAAAATAAAAAAAAAGGCGTTAAAAGGCAGAAAAATCTAGGAATTATTAATGACAGAATCTGAAGGTGTAAATACTATAACAATTAAGGAGAGTTTTCTTTTTTTTTTTTTGTTAAGAAAAATCCGGAGGTAGATAGGTTACAAATGGACAGGATTCGAAATCAAAACTTTTTCGTCGAGGAAAACGATTTTAACCGATTGAACCAACCACTTGTTAATGATTAAAAAGAGTTATCTCTTTAGTCTTTGGTGCACCTAAATCAAATTCTTCACTAAAATTTGCCATTTTGTTGACCGGCCAAATAAAAAACAATAGAATTAGTTGATTAAGGTCCATTTGGATAGATGGTAAGATTGATTTTAGTGAAATTGAAAATAATAATAAAAGTTACTTTAAATATGACTAAAAAAAATTATAATAATTGTGATTGAAAAAAAAATTATAAAAAAAAATTATACTGAATATATTTCACTAGAATTTATATTTAAATTCAATTGATGGTGCGAAGAGCTCAATTACATCATACTAAAAGTGTGGTAAAATTCAAACTCTTAGTTTTTTTAGGGAAAGGATGCTCTCCACTATTTAACGACTTAAAAATAGGAGAAGTTTTCATTATTTTATCCAATAATGATAAATACACTTTAATTAAGTTTGAGGTTGAAATTTAATTATTTAAAATTAAATATAAATATAAATAAAATTTAATTAAAAAGATAAAAATAATTTGAATAAATTTCAACCTTAGATTTAGTTGATAGTGCATATACTACCATTAAATAAAGTAATAGAAGTTTTCACTACTTTTAAGTAGCGGGAAAGATTTTTTCCCCATTTAGGAATTTGAATCGACACTCCCATCTCATCGGAAAAAATAGAATTGATTGATTAAGCTTCATTTAAGAATATGATTCGATATGTACTTTCATCACGTCAGAAGGTATCCTTTAATTATTAAAAAATTAAACATAAAATAATGATAATAAGAAATTAATATGGTTGAGTCATGTATAAACCTGTTCAAGGGTTTGGTTATCTGTCCAAATCTGAAGGTCCATCGAAGTTTTAAGAGGGCTTAAACAAAAAATTAAAATCCGTTAAACGAGTTTAAGCACAATTTTTAGGTTTTTTTAAATTTCAGGTTGGGCAACAAAAGATTTAAAGCTCAAACTTAGTTCGACTTAGCCTGAATTCACATATATAAATTTTTTATTTTTATATATACCTAAAGTATATACACATATATAAATTAAAAATAAAAACTATATATATTTTCTATTAAATTAAATTTTTATTTTTATATAATTTTATTTTTAATTTTTATATATATAATTTTTATTTTTATTATATATATATGTGAATTGAATATAATCTCGTTAAACTTAATTTAATTATATTTTTTAAAATTTTATTATATAAAGTAAGTTTAATGAATGAGTTTAGGATTTTTTTTTTTAATTTGAGCCGAATTCAAAAAAAATTTTAGTTCTAAAATTTCAAATTGGACTAAACCTAAACTAGTATATAAGCTATTAATATAAAATATGAGCCTAATTCAAACTTAGACTTGATAAGTATATAAACTATTAATATAAAGTATGAGCTTAATTCAAACTTGACTTGGCTCGACCCGGTCTATGAACACTTTTAATAATGTAAAAGTAACAGTAAAACTTTTACCTTATAAAACTTAGAATATGACAAAATTTCAAAAACTTTCTAAAAGAATAAGTGAAAATAATTTTATTAAAAAAATTAGACACTTGATGGAAACGCTTATCTTTATATGATAATTGTTGGTGAACAAATGTAATTTTTTTTTATTAATGATTAAACATAATTTTTTCATGGAGTAAATATAATTTTTCACTTGAAAGACAAACATAATTTTTATAATTAATTTAATTTATGAAAACTAAAATAGTTTGTCACAAATAAGCATTTCCACCAAATTTACTTTAAAGAACTATTTTTTGATCTGAATTAAAGAGATCCCCCAATATTTTAAAATGCCAAAAATAAGAAGAGATAAAAATGCTTGTGTGTATCTTATCCAACATAAGAAAATATGAAATAATGTGTGAAAAGCACTAAACGTAAAAGCTCAAGGGGGCCTTGAAAAAGAAGATCCAATGCATAAAAATAATAGCTATGTGAATGAACATGCACTACAATTTAAAATAAGTTTTAACAATATCACAAAATATACAGCTAAATCTGAGAAATTGTTGTTATTAATTCAGGATTTAGTTTCAGCTTTGAAATTGTTAGTCGAGATCTGTTAATTCTTAACGCTTGGGTTTTGAATAACAAAATTCATTGTTATATTTGTCGTGATAATCCTGTCGGCAACTAATTACAAATTTGTTCATAATTATATGATTTATTGATAGAATATTATATACTCTTAATTTTCAGTAATTAAAATCTAATTTTTGACGGTTTAAAAAAACAAATCAAACGTTACTCCAAGTAATTATTAGATTTAGGTGCAAACAATGATTGCAACCTAAATGATGGTATCATTCAGCAGAGTAACGGTGGATTTGAATAATACAAAATTGATCTTAAATTTAGAAAAATTATTTAATACATTAACAGCAAAATTTTATAATTTTATAAGCGGGTTAAAATGATAATATATGTCACATTTTTTTTAAATTAATTCTTTTAAATATAAAATGGATATGTGTTATCATTTTAATTTTACTTGTGAAGTTAAAAAATTTCATTATCAGTATATTTGATAATTTTTTTTAAATTTATTAATCCAATTCATTATGTATTAAAAGAGGTGTTGTAAAAAAGAAACAAAAAAAAGAAAGGGCTAAGTAATTCAATTGAGAAGTAGAAAGTAAGAAAATAATAATTTAATCACTTACTTAATTTTTGAAATTATCTTATGATTGAACCATATTTGTCAATTTTTTAAAAATTGTTTTACACTTAAAATTAGTTCTATATTTATTAATCTACTTTATTATGTAATAAAAGAGATATTGACAAAAAAAAAAAAAAAGGAAAAAAAGCACGATAATGAACCTTACTCAGTTGAGAAGTAGAGGAAAAGAAACAATAACTTCATCACGTACTTGATTTTAAAATTATACTATGATTGAATTAGATTAGATATTTTTAACATTGCTTTACATTTATTCTCACTTTAGAAAGTTAGTTCTAAATTTAGTAATTTATTTATTTTTTATTATATCAAGAGAGCGAAATTCTAATACAAGTAAAGGGGAAGGGAAGGATTTGATTCGAAATTAGGTCTTTAATGTCTCTTCAAACGCTTTTAACCACTAAACCAAAAGATTAAGAAACAATAATCTACTTTACTATGTACTGAAAAAGGTTCTGCGAAAAAAAAAAAAAAAAATGCCATGTAACTCAAATATTCAGTTGTGAAAGTAAGGAAATAATAATTTCATCACCTACTTGGTTTTAAAATTATATTATGATTGAATCATATTATGTCAATTTCATTTTACATTTTTTTATACTTATTTTTATTTTACAAAATTAGTTCTAAATTTATTAATTTATTTCATTACGTAAAAGAAGTGTTGCGAAAAAAAAAAAAAAAAGAAAGACACATAATGAACCTTAGTTGAAAAATAGAAAGGAAAGGAATTTAACAACAAATTCATTACGTACTTGATTTTTAAATTATACTATAATTGAATGAAATATCATTTTTCTTACATTGTTTTACACTTATTCTCATTCTTCAATGTTAGTTCTAAATTTATCCAAAAAAGTTAATTCTAAATTTATTAAATAATTTTATTATGTATGAAAATTAAAAGATGTGAATTGAAAACTTAGCTTAATTTATTTATGTAACTATTTGTAAAAAGTAGAATTTAGTAGGTTTGAAATCCGAATCTCAATAATTATAATTTTTTTTTTTATTCCCAAGTTTTTGTCTCCTATGTATAAAAAAAAATTAAAGAGATGTTTAAAAAAAAATCATGTAACTTTATTCAACTAAGAAGTAAAATTTATATAGGATCCCTTACTAAAATTTGTGATGTTGATTAACTTGAAGTCCTTGAATGAAATAAAAAACAAAAAGATAGAGCATAAACTTTGATATATTTGGAAGGATAAATAAGGAAAAAATTATTGAAAGTTACAAGTTCATATATTGTTGATGGTGTTTTTTTATGGGGACGAGCTGGTTGGTGAGCTGAAAAATGAGTTGGACTGGTCTGAACTTGCAATAAGAAAACATGGTTAAGGGGTGTTGGAGTTTGTTTTTTAGGATGTACCCCTAATGTTCAAATCAATCAAGTGCTCAAGATTTTTTAAGAAAAAAGGTGAACTATAAAGAGCATGAATGAGGCTTAAAAATGAAGAGTTTAAAATATGTATTTAAATTTTTTTTTTTATTTTGTATATGAGATATTGGATGATAACATTACTCGAGTCAGGGATTATTGATGAAAATTTTTTGTTAAAAATTAAGGAGGGTTTATGTAAATAAATATAAATTACATTTAATAATTTTAAATAAATTGAAAATAAATTTAAACTGTTGAGGTGACTTATTAATGGATATTAATGGAATTAGTAGATGAAAAGGTCTTGATAGATGAGTAATATAGCATTGGGTGAGCTATATTATGACAAAAAGTTTAGATGATGATCTTTTTTAATAATGATGTGACATTTGAGTATACGTCGACTTAACGAACATAAAAGTTGACTTTATTAATTAGATGATTATACATAAATATATATAATTCAATTATTAATTATTGGATGGTGAAAAGTTTGTTATAATCAACATAAAA